TCTCCATTTCCTGAAAAGATCAACCAAGCTGTGGAGAGAGGAGACACATTCAGCCAGGCGCCACTGGGTGCTGGATCCTGAATATCCTCTTTACTCAGCAGGTGTCTCTTAGGGGGCTTTCCCTTCACTCCCTCCTCTGGTTCCTCTCACTTAGGCAGAAATCAAGGCACCAGAAATCCAAAGTGCCGGCAATGTGATGTTTATTGGGGTTAGTTTCAAGCAAGAATATCCATAGCTCCACATGCCATCAGAGTCTGTTTCCCAGTGTTCTGTTCACAGCTCTGACACCGCAGAGCCTTTATATGTGTCCCTTTCCCCCTTCCTCTTAGCAGGCCCAAATATACCTGCAGTGCACGCTCCTGGTCATGAGTCTGGGGGCTCGGTACCACCTCTTTTGTACCCCATGGGAGGGGTAAGAAGTGAGGTTGTGTACTGGTCAATGCCAGGCTTTTCTTTGGCTTTTTTAGTGTGTCTTCTGCCTCCCCCATCCCACTCTTTGCCCCTCCCAACTGGTTGCTTGACCTTGGCTTGAGAGAGGAGCCAGGCAGCCTTCCAGTGTATATTACACTCCCACCATACCTAGTAACACTTTGGGTCTATCCCTTAACTTTTCCATTATACTAACAAACCGATCCGGCTGGGCAGAAGCAACCTACAGTGTCTTTGTTCTTTCTTCACACATATTAGCAAGGATATAAGAGTATCAAAAATGAAACCCAAAATTCTATCTCAGGCTAACAAACAGGCCTATATACTCACAGGGCCTTGGCCAGATGAGCCACATTGCTGCTCTCTGGGAGTTTTGTTCTAACTTCTCCATTTTTCATCTATGACAATTAAAGGAAGGTGAAAGGAGAGGAACTCTCCATTTCCTGCAAGACCTACAGATTGCACTAGCAGGGTCTCTGTGCGCAGACACACCCAGCAAATCACAAGCGCGTGTGTTGCAGCAATTGCAGTCCAAGCAACTGCCTTGCCAATGCCCGTCACAGCAGCCCCAGGCTCGTGGTTTGACTTTTTTCCAATGCTCCTCTGCAAAGGAGCCTTTCCCATAACAATCCTATTAATTAGATAACCGATGGAGGTCTCCTGTGTTTTCTAGAAAGACATAGGAAAATGTGAGTGGAGGTGGTCATAGAGTGATAGACCACAAAAGTCATTTAGTCGAACCTCCTCTTCTTGGCCTGATGTTGTTTAACATCTTCATTAATTACCTCGATGTAGGAATAGAGCATACGGATCAAATTTTCAGATGACTTTGCCTACTAGTTCTCTGAGTTGGTTGAAATCCAACTGTCGGAAGGCCAGTGCTCTTGTTTTGCTGTTCTCATGTCCTCCTTTCCACAGGATCTTGAATTCTATCAGATCATGATCACTTCCCTCCCACGTTCCCAACCACCTTCACGTTCCCAACTCATTTACCCCTGTTGGTCAAAAACAGATCTAAAATGGATAACCCCCTGGTTGTTTCCCCAACTTTATGAATCAGAAAGTTGTCCTCTATGCATGCTAAGAATTTTCAGGCCATATTACTTTTTGTTGTAATAATCTTCCAACAGATATGTATCCCAGTATATTCCGATATTCTTGTCCCACATACTCATAAATTCTTTGCAGTATTTATCATAGAATATCAGGGTTGGAAGGGACCTCAGGAGGTCATCTAGTCCAAACCCCTGCTCAAAGCAGGACCAATCCCCAATTTTTGCCCCAGATCCCTAAATGGCCCCCTCAAGGATTGAACTCACAACCCTGGGTTTAGCAGGCCAATGCTCAAACCACTGAGCTATCCCTCCCCCATCTTTCCACACAAACAGTGAATATATGAAAATATCCAAAAATATCCAAAAACAGGAGAATATCCCCTGTAATTCAGTATACTTGTGCACAATGTGAGCAGGACATCCAAGGCCTATCACTTCCCTTTTTAAGCCCATCTTTACTTTGGTGTGCAAATGTTCTCTTCCATGTCTGTATCGACCCCCAAAGTTTATCTTTGTATTATCTGCTTCCATACTTATTCAGAACATTTATTATCTCAGCTGCAATATGAGAGACTGGTTAGGAAGAGATGTAAATGAATAGAGCTTTGAAAAACAGCCGGCATTGTTAGAGATAGAAGGGTAGATGTTTGTTCAGGTCCTGTGATGTAAGCAAACAAGTTTTGTCTATTGCCATAGCTTTGATTCAAAGATCAAAAAAGGAATATTAACGTTTAGGAAGACACTTGAGTGACATAGTATTATTGTTAACATGTCTCTTTGAAGGTTGTGATAATCTGTATCTGAACTGTTTAATGGATAAATTACCCTGTGCTAATTGCCAGGATGTCTGGAAGAAGGAAAGTTAAGCCTATTGTTTTCTCAGGCCAAAAGGCTGCAAGAAATGTATAAAAATCTTGGGACACAGTCCTTCTTCATCTCAGATCTGCTTTGGGTTTCAAGAAGGGGAAACCTTAAACCATAAGGATTGAGATCCCCAGTCACTGACTGGAGTCACCCTGAATATGGACATTGGACTGTAACCTCTGGACTATTTCTAAAAGGATTTTTGGCAACTACAAGCTCATCTCTGCTATGTAGCTGAACCTCAAGAATTGAATTCAAGTCTGTCTGTATATTGATCTTTTAACCAACACTCTCTCTTTTCTTTTTTAATAAATTTTAGTTTAGTTAATAAGAATTGACTGTAAGGGTGTATTTGGGGTAAGATCTAAGTTATTATTTGACCTGGGTCTGGGGCTTGGTCCTTTGGGGTCAGGAGAACCTTTTCTTTGATATGATGAAATAAGATTTTCAAAATTTATCATCCTATGTTTGACATGTGTGTTTGGACGGAGGCCGGAGGCTGAGTACTTTAAGGGACCTGCATTATTTGGACTTCTGAGTAACAAGGGAAGTGCTATAGAAGCTGTTTTGGGCTGGCTGGGTAAATCTAAGTGTTGGAATATCCACCAGCCTTTGGGGTTTGTCTGCCCCGTTTTGTTTGCAGTTCACCCTGATTGAGTGACCTCAGCTGGCTCCCATGGGCAGCACCGTCAGAGCATCCTAGGTTCCAAGACCAGAAGAGACAGTTATAATAATGTAGTCTGACCTCCTGTATAACACTGGCCATTGAACATTCCCAGAATAACTCTTCGAGCAGATCTTTTAGCAAAACATGCCATCTCAATTCAAGAATGGTCAGTGATAGAGAATCCACCACGACCCTTGGTAAGTTGTTCCAATGGCTAGTTACTCTCATGGTTAAAAAATTTACACCTTATCTCCAGTCTGAATTGGTCTCGCTTCAACTTCCAGCCATTGGATCATGTTAAACCTTTCTCTGCTAGATTGAGGAGCCCAGTATTAAATATTTGTTCCCCCATTAGGTATTTATAGATTGGGATCAAGTCACCCCTTAACCTTCTCTGTCTTAAGCTAAATAGATTGAGCTCCTTTAGTCTATCCCTACAAGTTGTGTTTTCTAATCCTTTTATCATTCAGCTAGATCGTATCACAACAACTGCCCCTGCTCCAGGTGGGCAACTATTCTCCACACTTCTAGTGAGGTCTCCTCTGACTAGAGAGGGGGGCGTGTGTGTTAGGAACATCAGACATTACTGCTGGCTACGCAGGGAGACGAGAGACCCCTGAATGAAGAAAACAAACTCTCCAGGCTATAGAACCTACGATCTGTCTGGGCTGTGAGTGGGAATCTACAAATGCGTGTCTCACTGCTCTGCCGGGGTTTTGGACAGAAGCCAGAGCAGGATGATAGGCAAATAGCCTAGAGGCCCTGCAGTACACCCTTTAGTATACTAGAGTTTAGCATCCCATTAATCAGCCACAAGTGTAAAATACCTCATTTAAATGATCTCCTGGTAGAGCATTAAAAGATCTAATGCTGAATGCATCTGGTGTGTGTGTAAGCAAGATCTGTAGCCAGTCCCTATCTTGTACAGAGGAATGTCATTACCTTCAACTCAGTGGCATTTCTTTGTTGGTGGATGGGGCAATCCTATGTGCTGATGCATGTTTTCTTGCATATGGTAGTCTACAATTTTCATTCACAAGCACAATGCACAAAACAGAGATCAAACCTCATGGAGCATAAATGAAGGTACCTCTCACGTTCAGCAGTATATGCCATATTAGAGATGACTTTTGCACCTCTCGTAGACAGACAACTTCAGCTGGGAGGGGAGTGTAACATTGATCAACCAGCTTTACACTCCCACACATTCTGGAACTTTCTCACTAGTGCCTGTCTGTGTAATTGAAACCATCCCACACCTGACTCCCTGCCAGCCCTGACCTATGCCTGACAAGTTCAGCTTGTGTTTGGATTCTCTCAAGCAGAGCAGTGAGATCCAGAAAGCACTTTTGACCTCTTGCAAGGATTTGCTTGAAAAGTGTGTGTGTGTGTGTGAGAGAGAGAGGATGTTTGTGACTAGTATGTTTGGCCACTAATATTACAGAATTAAAAACACAAGAGACAGGAAGTTTCATAGTCAGCAGCATTTCCACCTGTGTGGGGACACCCCAATGAATTTCTGATCTATCGCATTAAGCACTCAGCCAAAATTACCTAACATCCAGTTTCTTCATGACCCTTCAATTGAGTTCTCTATAGGAGGGAGCTTCTAGGAATTGGTATTCTGGGCTGCAGGTTGGGCCTGGCTTCCCCCAGCCTTTGGATCCATGTAATCCATGATCCCAAGGGGAGCCATCTCCTAGAGCTTCCCCATGTCCCATGGAACTCAGAACAGTGAGAAACATGTAAGTTATTTATAAGACGAAAAATTATGTAAAACATGACAACATTTCTCCTTTTTTTTGTGGTGGAGAGAAGCCTCATAGTTCCTGTAAGGCCAAATATTGATATTTCTATGGATTTCTGCTTATACAGGGAAATTGTCAGTTGATATTGATATCAGCAATTCCTAGGTATCATTTATATAAAGATGTGCTCTTTAATAGTCTATCTAATTTATCATATTCAGATATTAAACTGATAAGAACAGATTTAATAATTTTATTAAGATAATGTTGAAATAAGGAATGGTACAGAGTTCAAGCATAGAAGTTTCTGGTTGTCAGGGGATAAGGTACAGATTATAAAGGGGTGCAAAATTCGATTTAGGAGCTGGTGGAGCAAGGATCACATAATAATCTGCAATCTCCCCGACTGGGGGAAAAGTTTAACCGGTCAGAGTACAGACATCGAGATATGGGGTAAGTTTTCCACACAACGGCTATGTTCAGTATGCTGGGTATAGTGAGTGAATACAGGGGTGGGGATGGGTCTACCCTCATTTGGTGGGGTTTAATGTTCAGTGGGTTTACGGTTCCAGTTCATATGGTCCGATGGGGAAGGCCTCTCAGTCTCTTTCCCACAGTGTGTGCACAATGTCGTACCGGCTCACTCCTCCTGGTACTGTCGGTGGCCGGTGATGTGCTCCATATAGATGTCCCTGGACCATCGGATGGTGTCCGAGACCATGAGGCGCCGCATGATCCGTGCGTAGCATCTACCGATCCCGCAGATCCGCAGCACACGCTCGTTGCAGGGGTCCCAAGCGCCCAGGGCTCCGACGATCAGGGCGTCCAGCTGCACCTCGTAGCCTCTAGGGTACAGATGTGGGGACCTGCATGAAAAACCTCCTAAGCTTATCTTTACCAGCTTAGGTCAAAACTTCCCCAAGGTACAAAATATTCCACCCTTTGTCCTTGGATTGGCCGCTACCACCAGCAAACAAATACTGGTTACTGGGGAAGAGCTGTTTGGACACATCTTTCCCCCCAAAATACTTCCCAAAACCTTGCACCCCACTTCCTGGACAAGGTTTGGTAAAAAGCCTCACCAATTTGCCTAGGTGACTACAGACCCAGACCCTTGGATCTTAAGAACAATGAACAATCCTCCCAACACTTGCAGCCCCCCTTTCCTGGGAAATGTTGGATAAAAAGCCTCACCAATTTGCATAGGTGACCACAGACCCAAACCCTTGGATCCGAGAACAATGAAAAAGCATTCAGTTTTCTTACAAGAAGACTTTTAATAGAAATAGAAGTAAATAAAAATCACCTCTGTAAAATCAGGATGGTAGATACCTTACAGGGTAATTAGATTCAAAGCATAGAGAACCCCTCTAGGCAAAACCTTAAGTTACAAAAAAGATACACAGTCAGGAATAGTTATTCTATTCAGCACAATTCTCTTCTCAGTCATTTAAAGAAATCATAATCTAACACATACCTAGCTAGATTACTTACTAAAAGTTCTAAGACTCCATTCCTGGTCTATCCCCGGAAGAAACCAGCATATAGACAGACACACAGACCCCTTGTTTCTCTCCCTCCTCCCAGCTTTTGAAAGTATCTTGTCTCCTCATTGGTCATTTTGGTCAGGTGCCAGTGAGGTTACCTTTAGCTTCTTAACCCTTTACAGGTGAGAGGATTTTTTTTTTCTGGCCAGGAGGGATTTTAAAGGGGTTTACCCTTCCCTTTATATTTATGACACCCTTCAATTGAGTTCTCTATAGGAGGGAGCTTCTTGGAATTGGTATTCTGGGCTGCAGGTTGGGCCTGGCTTCCCCCAGCCTTTGGATCCATGTAATCCATGATCCCAAGGGGAGCCATCTCCTAGAGCTTCCCCATGTCCCATGGAACTCAGAACAGTGAGAAACATATAAATTATCTATAAGACGAAAATTTATGTAAAACATGACAACATTTCTCCTTTTTCTGTGGTGGAGGGAAGCCTCATAGTTCCTGTAAGGTCAAATATTGATATTTCTATGGATTTCTGCTTATACAGGGAAATTGTCAGTTGATATTGATATCAGCAATTCCTAGGTATCATTTATATAAAGATGTGCTCTTTAATAGTCTATCAAATTTATCATATTCAGCAACATAGTATCTGCTCAAATTTTATCAATGTGTATGGAGAGTGGATATCAATTACTCTCTGAATTCACGCATGGGCATGGCCCTCCCCTTCCCCTGCCCTTGGTTGCTCTGTGGCATTGAAGTGTTCCCTTAGAGCTGTCAGCAAGAGCTGCCTCTGCTCTAGGGCCCAGAGGAGGAAAGGTGTGCTACGCTCCAGCCTGGGACTGCCTCCCTCCTGCCTTTCCCTGACTATTAAGCCTGGCCCTGGGACTGCTTCCCTTAAGTGCCATGTGGGCAAGAGGAAGCGCGTGGCAGCTGCAGGTACAAGGACCAAACTTGTGGGCATCAGGTGAAGCAGCAAGAAACACAATCATCAGGTCAACCAGCAGGAATCTCTTGCCAGACTGTTAAATTCTAGGGCCCCAACCTATTGCAGCCAGCCTGTTGAACCAGCCGGACCAAAGCCCTAGCTCCAGTGGGCATCAGTGACCCAGCATGGAGGAAAAAAACTCACTTTAGAGCAAGGAAGTCAAACACATTGAGCGCCAAGGCTTTGCAGCAAACCAACACAGCACCAGGAGGTCCCACTGGCATTTGAACTCAGATGGTTGGATTCAGAATCCGGAGGGCTGACCATAACACCATGGGACCCGCAGCTATGGTCTTTTCAGGACTCCTGTGTGACCCTCAGCTGGTCGGTTTGCACTCTGCATGCATTGCTTCCGTCCAGCTGCTTCCTCTCTTGCGACTCTCTCTCCTCCTCCGTCTCTGCTGCTCTCCTCCCCTAGACATTGAACCCAGCCCTTGTTACTGCCAACACCAACTGGCAGAAGGGCCGATAAATCCCCTGCCTGAGGGGAGGCCAATGCATGTGTTGGGCCATAAGCACCACAAGATTTAACCCTGTCTGCTTCCTTCCCCAGGTCTCTTACTTAGATGATATGGAAGTACACCTGTGGCTGGCGATATGAATTTGTGGGCACAGCATTGTGCAGTGGGCTTCCAAGACAGCCTGTAATTCAGCCAGGGGTTTGCAGCTGGGCCTTGGCCTGGAGGCAATCTTCTCTCCGCACAACAGATGGGGGATGCACTGGGACCAGCTCCTGGCTCCTTTTAGGGAACTGGTTCCCCATGAGGACACACCAGAGATCACTACAATCTAAGTAGGGGACAACCACCTGGAAATATTCTCCAGGCCCCAGCTGATTTGGAAAGTTAAACAAGATATTGCACAACATAGAACTATGGGGCCAGGTCCCATAGAAAACAAAGGGGAGCGGGGAAAGAGAGAGAAGAGAAGAGAAGGTGAGATGGGGTAGAAAAAAGTCTCCAGAGAGGGAGCAGCTGGAGGGAACCAAGGAGTGCAGTGGACAACAGGGTGGCGGGTTTGTAGAAATTTTGGTGGTGCCTAGAATGCCCACAGCCTGCCCCCCTAAAAAACTCCACGCCCACCTGCCTAAGGCTCTGGGAGGAACTTTGGGTGGGGGGAGGAGGTCTGGGGTGCAGGCCCTAGGCTGGGGCAGGGGATTGGGGTGCAGGCACTGAGAGGGAGTTTGGGTGCAGAAGGGGTGAGAGGCTGGGCTCTGGGAGTTTGGGAGGGGGAGGGGGTCTGGAGTGCAGGCTCTGGGACAGAGTTTGGGTGCTCAGTGCAGGCTCTGGGCTCGGACAGGGGGTGGGGGTGCAGGAGGGGATGAGGGGTGCAGATTCAAGGAGGGAGTTTGGGCGTAGGCTCTGGGATGGAGTTTTGGGGCTGGGTGTGTGAAGGGGTGGGGGCAGTGGTGAGCTGGAGCCTGGGGAAGGGGGTGGGAGTGCAGGAGGGGGTGAGAGGTGCAGGCTCTGGGAGGGAGTTTCTGGACAGGAGGGGGTGTGGGTCCAGTCTCTGAGACAGAAATTGGGTGCTGGGAGCAGACTCCAGGCCGGAGCAGGGGGTGGGAGTGAGGACTACAGGCTCTGGGAGGGAGTTTGGGTGGAGGCTCTGGGAGGGAGTTTTGGTGCCGGGTGTGTGGGAAGGGGTGGGGGCAGTGGTGAGCTGGAGCCTGTTCGCACCAGTTCACGCGAACCGGTTGTTAAATTTTGAAGCCGGTTTAGAACCGGTTGTTAAATGGGTGGGCAAGCTCCGGCCCGCGGGCTGCCCTGTCTGTCCCGCCTGAGCTCTTGGCTGGGGAGGCCCCCCTGTGAATTTTTACTCACCCGGCAGCACTCCAAGCCTTCGGCGGCACTTTGGCAGCGGGTCCTTCACTCGCTCTGAGCCTTTGGCGGCAGGTCCTTCACTTGCTCCAGGCCTTCGGCTGCACTTCTGTGGCGGGTCCTTCAGTGCCGCCGAAGACCCGGAGCGACTGAAGGAACCGGTTCTTCAGCTTCTGGCAGCTCATCACTGGGTGGGGGTGCAGGCTCTGGGAGGGAGTTTGGATGCTGGGTGCAGGCTTCGGGCTGGGAGAGAGGCTGGGGGTGCAGGAGGGGTGAGGAGCATGCATTCAGCTATTTCATAGGCAGAGTTTTAAGGTTATTCAGATTTGGGGAACTATTCTTAGCATCTTTCCGTGGTAGATTTCAGAGGTGTTGACACACTCACACCCACTGAGCCACACAGTTACACCCCAATCTAATAGAAGGGCTGGGAGTCTCCAAGTTCATAAAAAGAAACAGACAAAACATAGAAAAAGGAACAAAACATTTCTAAGATTATAAGGGTTGGATCTCTCCATCTCTGTCTCTGGAGTCACCTGGAGTAGGAACTGTAGCTGCAGTTTAGGAACCAGGTAATGGCATAGACAGTCCAGCACTTCGGGCTAGCAGGCTTTTCAGATACAGGGAGACTAGCGAAGGCTGCATAGCCTGTCAACATTGTGCTTCATTCTCCAGAGGGGATCAGTCCTGGGATCCTGGCAGTCAGTCTCTCTGAGGCTATGTCTACATGGGCAGAGTTACAGCTCCAGGAGTTACAGTGCCGCTCAGAGAGCACTGAAGGGAAACCGCTATTCTGTGTTCACACTGTCAGCTGCTTGCACAATCGCATATTGAAACTTGCAGCGGTATTCAGAGTGGTGCATTCAGTATCTGCCTGCCCCTTAATGCTGTGGCTTATGAAGCCATATACGGGGCACCTTGACAGCAGCAAGGAGTGGTTCAACAACAGGCTGAGCAAGTGCAGAATGACAGTTGAGTGCTTTTGGCCATTTAAAGGCCCGCTGGCGCTGCCTATATGGCAGGCTGGACCTGACCAATGACAATATTCCTATGCTTATAGCCGCATGTTGTACGCTCCGTAATATTTGTGAAGGGAAGGGTGAAAGCTTCACTCAGGGCTCACTGAAGCTCAGCACCAGGAAGCTGAATTTGAACAGCCAGAGACCAACACTATTAGAGGGGTGCAGCATGGGGACATAAGGATCAGGAATGCCTTGAGGCAGCAATTTGAAGCTGACAGCCACTAATATTCATTGCCATGAATGGCAGTGCAGTGCTTGTAATGCTAGGCGGTGATCGTGATTGGTGTAGACGATGCACTATGAAGGTTTAAGAAAATTGCCTCTTGCTTTGCAGGGCTCTGTTTGCTTTCAATTAATGGAATAAAGATTGCTTTCAAACCAAAACTATTCTTTTATTAAAAAACCACCACTGGAGGAGAGAGACAAACAAACACACACATCATCACTGTGGGGGATGAGGGAAGGGAGTGTCCCATGAGGAGGTGAGGTCCAGGGACGGTTAAAAATTTTGTGCTTGTCCAGGTATCATATGCAACTTTATCCTCTGGATTACAGTGCAGCGGGTACCGTACTTCAGCAGGAATGAACTGCAGAGGGATGGGTGTTGAGTGCACTAGGTACTGGACATCCACAGGGCTGGACTGCGATGGGGTAGGAGTGGAACGCAGAGGGTACAGACTGGAGCCAAGAGGTTGATAAGACTGTGTTAGCCGTGTCTGGGGGCACATGGGAAAGAGGTTTGCAACAGCGTCTGCAGGGGTAGGCACACAAAGCGCTGCTTAGTTTGTGGAGCTAGTAGTGCCTGAAATGTAACTCCTGCTTTCTGCAACCCTCCTGCCCCCAACAACTCGCTTCAGTGATTCCCCAAATCAAAGCCCTTAGATGGCTGAGACTGGCTAGCCTCCTCCAGGGTAGAGAAGAACTCCTGGCTGCATACATATCTGACCTGCGAGTCATCCTCTGCCTCTGGGTCCCCCTCCACCACCACATCCTCATCCAAGATTTTTTCCTCCTGGCAAGGTCCACTCTCGACTGGCATGCGAGCCACCGAAGTATCCACAGTGGCCTTTGCAGTGGAGGTGGGGTCCCCACTGAGTATCACGTCCAGCTCTTGTAGAATCTGGAGCTCATGGGTGCAGCACTGGAGCAGGAGTTTGCCTCCCACACCTTGTGGTAGGTGTTCTGCAGTGCCTTCACTTTGACCCTGCACTGCAGTGCGTGCCAGTCATGGCCCCTTTCTCTCATGCATTGTGAAATCTGTCCATAGGTATCACAAGTCCTGCGGCTGGAGCACAGCTGGAACTGGATAGCCTCTTCTCCCCAAATGCTGATGAAGTGCAGCAGCTTGGCATTGCTCCAAGCCGGGGATCGCCTGGTACATAGAGCAGGCACGGTCACCTGGAAAGATGCACTGAGACCACTACATGCATCACCGAGCAAACAGGGAAGGGACTTTTAAAATTCCCAAGGAATTTAAGAGGTTGTGTTCACAGTTGATCACCAGAGGGCAGTGCAGTAGAGTTCAAACCGATGACTGGAGAGGTGAGAACAGGGATTGTGGGACGTATCGAAGGACGTCCAATCGCAGGCCAATCGCAGTGCTGCCATCGACCAAGGTGTCTACATTGGCAGCACGGCACTGTAGCCGTGGTGCAGAAAGCTGTACGTCTCTTGTCGGGATGGGTTTTTTTTACAGAGCTGCAACTGCAGAGTTTCTGCAGATGAAGTGGCTTGGCCGTGTGTACACCTTTGAAGTTATGGGAAGAAAGCTGCTTTACCATGCAGAAACTTGCCAGGGTAGACAAGGCCGTAGACGGCTTAATAAGAATGCAAGATTGGTCATACTGGGTCAGACCAATGGTCCATCTAGCCCAGTGTGCTACCTGAGAGTGACCAGTGCCAGATGTGTCAGAGGGAATGAACAGAACAGGCTTGTTAATCTGCAAGTGAGAGTCTTTCACCCTTATCTTTAACTTCATTGTTGGTCAATTCCTACTGATGCTATCTTACCACCCCTCCCCTGAGGTTACTGGGCAAATCAGGTGTGAACCACTCCTTTGATACAGACGTGTCCCAATCCAGCTGAATTGAGGCAGACTTTGGGCCAATGCCAGTTTGGAAAAGGCCTGCTTCACGCAGAAGGTTTCTCAAAGTATCTGTTGCTGTGAACCGCATGTAGTGTGGATGTGTAAACCCCAAAGATAGCAAACATAAAAGAAACACAAGGCCAGTTCTGAGGAGGTTTCCAGGGCCAGGTCTGAGGGTTAAACAGCTGTGCTCAAAAAGGAAAAGAAACCTCAGCACCTATAAAAATAACTCGTTGCAAAAACAAAACAAAATTAAATTGAAAAACCAACCCAAACAAAAAAAGCAACCCAGAAAAGCTCCCATCACACATCCATCACCATTGTAGATTTTGACATCTTTACTTTGCAAACAAGAGATCTGCGGAACTCTGTGGCTGTTACCCTCTAACTGGGTAAAAGGTTACACATCTTCTCTCAAGTAATTTTCCTCTTATGGGAAGATTTATTTTAAAATTTATCAAAATAAATTCCATTTTAAGTAGCAATAATTACAGTCTATACTGGGTCTCTATTCTCATACATGCTATTTGTATCACATATTCCCCCACTCTAATTCCTTTGGAGTGAGGTTGTAATTTCAGGATTAGCCACTATTTCCATATAGTAGGAGGGGGAAGGGAGAGAACTAGAAGAAAACCTGAATTATATTGTAACACTGAAAGTTATCACATAATCAGCTTCTTACGTTACACTAATTAACTTCATGTTTAAATTTCATTGTCACTGGTAACAATTTATTCAAAGATTACAAACTATAAACCTATAGGGCAGTTTTCTCTTAATTCCCATTTCCACCCAGTGAGCTTTGTGTGAAGTCACATTCTACAATAACCTAGGACGCCTTCCACTTTTGTGAGTTCATTTCTCCCTGGGTTTTCTCCCAGTAGTGAGGGTGGAAGGGGGTCTCACACTACGTGGGAAGGCTGCATCATGAGAAAAAACCACCTGTGCTACATTTTCACACTTTCTAATCTTTCAGAGTAGGACGACGTGGAGAAATAATATAAATGCATAAGAATAACAAAACTAAGAGACCAAACCACAGACTCTGGACTCAGCACTCATGTATCCTGCAGTCTGAACTTGAAATCTGATACATTCTCTCATTAGCTACCATCATATCCCCAGCATGGAACCACTTCTTGTCTAACGGTGCAGCCAGTTTGGGACCCATAGGCATGGGATGGCTCTGAAGGAATCAGCTGTTTCTCTCTGTGCTTCATGAAACTTTGGATCCAAATGGTAAAAGACAGTTCCCAATGTAATCATGGCATCTTTAGGAGTGTGATCAATGCCACTTAACTAGGGAGCAGCATTCTAAAAATAGTTTACCTAGGCCACAGGTCACCATAGCTTCCATCTCTGGGGTGAAAATCAATCACTCGTACCTGCAATTTCTGCCTGAGTTCTTGTCAAATCTTTGACCTTACTTGGAGTAATTTTACACTTCTCTGGCGTAGAATTCTTCACCAACCACACAACATATCAATAGTGATACTGAAGTAAAACTCCCCCAAATATGCCCTTTTATTTCTTTAATCTGGTGGCACAGATTTAAATTAGCGACTAAATTCAGGTGCAGCTTAGAATCCCTGTAAGACACCAAATGTCAGGTAGCTATTAAAAATAGGTATCTTTCTGCAGCTATATCACATTCATCATGGATTTTATTTCCTACACATTTGCAGCATCTCCCAGGGGTGAGCTGAACAGAAAGGTCACTTCCATTTTTCCTATCCCTACCTAGATAGGGATTGCATTTCCCAAATAATAGGCAACATGCACATGATTCGGAAGGAGATACCTTCAAGAGCGATCTGCTGCAGGGCCTGGGCCACAACTGCTTTGGGAGGCAAATGCATGGCTATTTTGCTTAGTTACAAGTCATTTACTAGGGAATACTCTTCCCAGCCCTTTAGAAATAAAATTAACCTAAGCAAATGAACAACAGGGGGATTGGGATGGAGATGGGGAATAAGGGAATCCCTCTGATTTACCCTATCTTCTTCTGTTGTTACAAAGGGTGAAATGATTTTTTTTTTGTTACAGTTCAATATATTTAAAGTGAGGAAAATGGTAGTAAAAATATCTGCTCTCCAGCACAACCTGCAGCAACAACAGAGCAACTGGGAATGCAACAATTTGTTCCCAAATGGGGAACTTGATGACTAACAATTGCTTTGAAATGGGGGAACGGTATAACCGTGATGCTCAGGGTTTGTTTAGACTAGGAAAAGTAATGGAGTTAAGGTCAGGTCACGGGGAAAGCTAATGCCAACCACTGCACCTCGGCTGCATCTGCACAACAACTGTAATTGTCTTTTTACACTAAGATCACTAATGTGAGCAACCAACATCATGTACAGACCTAGGGGATGTAAGGCACAGGTAGTTTTTGCCTCATTGTAGCTTGTTGGGAATCAAACCTCTCTCTCTCCCACCTGGAGCTGATGAACATTCCGGGCTAGAGGGACACACTCTCCTATAACTCAAAAGGAAAGGAGTAGATAGAAAAGATCACAGGACTGACGTCAAAGAAGGATGAGCTGCAAAAGGCAGGAGCAGGCAACTCATCTCGGGGAGCTGAGAGACCATGGTGAAAATGGTGCAAAGATCACTATGTGGGAACTAGCAAATATGATTTAAAAAAACAAACAAACACACCTTTGGCCAGCCCTAGTCAAGTCATTTATTACAGTTCTCTCTCATGTGAATTTTCTGATGTCTAATAAGGCTTGAGCTATGATTGAAGCTTTTCCCACACTCAGAGCACGTGTAGGGACTCTGTCCTGTGTGGATTCGCTGATGTGAGATGAGGGTTGAACTATCAATGAACCGTTTCCCACACTCAGATCATCCATAAGGTTTCTCACCTGTGTGGATTCTCCTATGTGTGATGAGGTGTGAGCTCTGATTGAAGCTTTTGCCACACTCAGAACATGTGTAGGGCGTCTCTCCTGTGTGGATTCTCTGATGTGTGATCAGGTTTGAGCTCCGATTGAAGCTTTTCCCACACTCAGAGCATGTGTAGGGCGTCTCTCCTGTGTGGATTCTCTGATGTGAGATGAGGGTTGAACTATCAATGAACTGTTTCCCACACTCAGAGCATCCATAAGGTTTCTCACCTGTGTGGATTCTCCTATGTGTAATAAGGTGAGAGCTCTGATTGAAGCTTTTCCCACATTCAGAACACGTGTAGGGCGTCTCTCCCGTGTGGATTCGCTGATGTGTGATAAGGTTTGAGTTCCGATTGAAGCTTTTCCCACACTCGGAGCAGGTGTAGGGCGTCTCTCCTGTGTGGATTCGCTGATGTGTGATAAGGTTTGAGTTCCGATTGAAGCTTTTCCCACATTCAGAGCACGTGTAGGGCGTCTCTCCTGTGTGGATTCTCTGATGTGAGATGAGGGTTGAACTATCAATGAACTGTTTCCCACACTCAGAGCATCCATAAGGTCTCTCACCTGTGTGGATTCTCTGATGTGCGATAAGGTTTGAGCTACAACGGAAGCTTTTCCCACACTCAGAGCATTTGTAGGACTTCTCTCCTGTGTGGATTCGCTGATGTGAGATGAGGGCTGAAATATCGCTGAAGCGTTTCTCACACTCAGAGCATCCATAAGGTTTCTCACCTGTGTGGATTCTCCTATGTGTAATAAGGTGAGAGCTCTGATTGAAGCTTTTCCCACATTCAGAACACGTGTAGGGCGTCTCTCCCGTGTGGATTCGCTGATGTGTGATAAGGTTTGAGTTCCGATTGAAGCTTTTCCCACACTCGGAGCAGGTGTAGGGCGTCTCTCCTGTGTGGATTCGCTGATGTGTGATAAGGTTTGAGTTCCGATTGAAGCTTTTCCCACATTCAGAGCACGTGTAGGGCGTCTCTCCTGTGTGGATTCTCTGATGTGAGATGAGGGTTGAACTATCAATGAACTGTTTCCCACACTCAGAGCATCCATAAGGTCTCTCACCTGTGTGGATTCTCTGATGTGCGATAAGGTTTGAGCTACAACGGAAGCTTTTCCCACACTCAGAGCATTTGTAGGACTTCTCTCCTGTGTGGATTTGCTGATGTGAGATGAGGGCTGAAATATCGCTGAAGCGTTTCTCACACTCAGAGCATCCATAAGGTTTCTCACCTGTGTGGATTCTCCTATGTGTAATAAGGTGAGAGCTCTGATTGAAGCTTTTCCCACATTCAGAACACGTGTAGGGCGTCTCTCCCGTGTGGATTCGCTGATGTGTGATAAGGTTTGAGTTCCGATTGAAGCTTTTCCCACACTCGGAGCAGGTGTAGGGCGTCTCTCCTGTGTGGATTCGCTGATGTGTGATAAGGTTTGAGCTCTGATTGAAGCTTTTCCCACACTCGGAGCATGTGTAGGGCATCTCTCCTGTGTGGATTCGCTGATGTGAGATGAGGGTTGAACTATCAGTGAACCGTTTCCCACACTCAGAGCATCCATAAGGTTTCTCACCTGTGTGGATTCTCCTATGTGTGATGAGGTGTGAGCGCTGATTGAAGCTTCTCCCACATTCAGAACATGTGTAGGGCGTCTCTCCCGTGTGGATTCTCTGATGTGTGATAAGGTTTGAGCGCTGATTGAAGCTTCTCCCACATTCAGAACATGTGTAGGGCGTCTCGCCTGTGTGGATTCTCTGATGTGTGATCAGGTGTGAGTTCTGACTGAAGCTTTTCCCACACTCAGAGCACGTGTAGGGCGTCTCTCCGGTGTGGATTCGCTGATGTGAGATGAGGGTTGAACTATCAATGAACCGTTTCCCACACTCAGAGCATCCATAAGGTCGCTCACCTGTGTGGATTCTCTGATGTACGATAAGGTGTGAGCGCTGATTGAAGCTTTTCCCACACTCACCACATGTGTAGGGCGTCTCTCTTGTGTGGATTCGCTGATGTGTGCTAAGGTTTGAGCTCTGAATGAAGCTTTTCCCACACTCAGAGCACGTGTAGGGCGTCTCTCCGGTGTGGATTCGCTGATGTGAGATGAGGGTTGAAGTATCAACGAACCGTTTCCCACACTCAGAGCATCCATAAGGTCGCTCACCTGTGTGGATTCTCTGATGTGTGGTAAGGTTTGAGCTCTGATTGAAGCTTCTCCCACATTCAGCGCATGTGTAGGGCGTCTCTCCAGTGTGGATCCTACGATGTATGATAAGGTGGGAGCTCCGACTGAAGCCTTTCCCACATTCGGAGCACGTGTAGTGTCTCTCTCCAGTGTGGATTCGCTGATGTCTGATCAGGGCAGAGCTCCGATTGAAGCTTTCCCCACACTCATGGCATGTGTAGCGTGTCTCTTCCAAGTTGATTGTTTCGCATGTAATAGGGTCTGAGTGGCTTCTCAAGTTTTCCTCTGGCCTCTGCTGAGTCTCACACGATTTTGCTTCTTCTGGGAGTGCAGAACTCCCAGAAACATTCCCTTTGGAGCCTCCTGAGAACATCTCATGTGGTAATACTTGTTCAGCATCTTCCTGCTGGAGTTTCTCCTTGTTCTCACTCACCATCCCATCACCTGATGGGAGACAGAGAGAATCCATGCATAGGTCACTCCCTGCACCTGAGAGAAAGGAAATCTCAGAGAGAGAAACGGAAAAAGGGGTGAACAAACCAAAATATGTGCAGGAGAGATCAACCCTATCATGAGCTGATTTTCCCCAAGACCTTCCCGAGAGGAGAGAGAAAGGGATCACTTTTGGTCTGCATCTCACCAGAACACTCTGGGGAAAGAGAGACTGGGGAGGGATCTGCTGCCAGTTCTCAGTCAGAATAGGTGGGAACAAATGAGTGACATCTGCCATAATGATTCCACATCTGCAGGGCACAGTGCTGAACTTGGAGAGCTCATAAGGTCTTTGTAGGGCAGCCCAAATGTTTTCTGTATTCATGGACAATTTTTGCATTGGTTTAACCAATTCCTCACCTGTGCAGGGAGTTCTCGGGAGCATTTTTTTCTCAGAGCCCTGGAGATCTGGGACCCACGGCTCTTCCCCTCGTTCCAGCTGTGAGATCACATCAGGTTTGCAAATTGGAAACCCTGCTAAAGAAAAAGAAAACAAGGGAGGTCAGTGGAATTTGTGGGATACTTGTCACAAGGAATATTCCATGGTTTTAAGCCCAGCTCATTTTTAAGCAGTAACATCCCAAGGCCAGCTTCCTTGGCTCAAAGTGGCAGGATAGTTATTATTATAATATTCATTACCTTAGTGCCTAAGGACGAACTAACAGTGGATCCCCATTGTACTAGGCAAATTACAAACAGAATAGTGGATAGCCCACGCCCTGAAGTATTTACAATCTAAATGGACAAAACAGACATAGAATGGGCGAAGGGGCAGAACCCAGTGTTAGAACATAGATATTCAGGCCTGCCTGTAAAGCCTATACTTTAAGAACTTAGGGGTAGTTTTATCACTTAGCTAGTTAAAGGGGTATAAAAACAAAGAAGGAAAATCACAGGGTATGTCTACACCATGAAAATAGGTCAATATTATAGAAGTAGATTTTTAGAAATCTATTTTATACAGTCGATTGCATACGTCCACACTAAGTGCATTAAGTCAGCAAAGTGCGTCCTCACTACCGTGGCTAGCATCAACTTACAGAGCGGTGCACTGTGGGTAGCTATCCCACAGTTCCCGCAGTCTCCGCTGCCCATTGGAATTCTGGGTTAAGCTCTCAATGCCTGATAGGGCAAAAACATTGTAGCGGGTGGTTTTGGGTACATGTCATCAGTCACCCCTCCCTCTGTGAAAGCAATGGCAGACAAGTGTTTCACACCTTTTTTCCGTGCAGATGCCACACCACGGCAAGCATGTAGCCCGCTCAGCTCAGCTCACCGATACTGCTGCTGTTGTGTCCTGGGTGCTGCTGGCAGCAGACAGTGCAGTAGTATGGCTAACCGTCATCATACACCGCTTCCGCTGCAACTCTGCACTGCTCCTATTGCTAACCGTCATCCTCCACCACTTCCACTGCAACTCGGCTCTCCTGAATCCACCTAGCAGGTCCACTTGTCGTTCTCTATAAATATCTATTCTCGTGGCATACGTAGTCAGCCACCGCTTCCGCTGCAACTCTGCTCTCCTGCAGACGCCATACCATGGAAAGCATGGAGCCCGCTGAGATCACCGCACCAGTTACGAGCATTGTAAACACCTCACGCATTATCCTGCAGTAGGTGCAGAACTAGAACCTGCAAAAGCAGGCGAGGAGACGGCAGTGCAGTGACGAGAGTGATGAGGACATGGACACAGACTTCTCTCAAAGCAAGGGCACCGGCAATTTGGACATCCTGGTGGCAATAGGGCAGGCTCATGGAATTGAGCGCTGATTCTGGGCCCAGGAAACAAGCACAGACTGCTGGGACCGCATAGTGTTGCAAGTCTGGGATGATTCCCAGTGGCTGCGAAACATTCACATGCGTAAGGGCACTTTCATGGAACTTTGTGATTTGCTGTCCCCTGCCCTGAAGCGCAAGAATACCAAGATGAGAGCAGCCTCACAGTTCACAAGTGAGTGGCAATAGCCCTGTGGAAGCGTGCAACGCCCGACAGCTACCGGTCAGTCGGGAATCAATTTGGAGTGGGCAAATTTACTGTGGGGGCTGCTGTGATTCAAGTAGCCAACTCAATCACTGAGCTGCTGCTATCAAGGGTAGTGACTCTGGGAAATGTGCAGGTCATAGTGGATGGCTCTGCTGCAATGGGATACCCTAACTGTGGTGGAGCGATAAACAGAACGCATATCTCTATCTTGGGACCGAACCACCTTGGCAGCCAGTGCATAAATCAAAATCATGCATTCTTTATTAATTCATCAAACAAATAGGGGGATAACAAGGTAGCCCAGGAGGGGTGTGGGAGGAGAGAAGCACTGGGTGAGGTGGTGGATGAGGGGAGGAGAGAAGGACAAGGCCACACTGCACTTCAAAACTTATTGAATGCCAGCCTTCTGTTGCTTGGGCAATCCTCTGGGGTGGAGTGGTTGGGTGCCCAGAGGCCCCCCACCCGCCGCGTTCTTGGGCATGTGGCTGAGGAGGCTATGGAACTTGGGGAGGAGGGTGGGTGGTTATACAAGGGCTGCAGGGGTGGTCTGTGCTCCTGCTGCCTCCTGCAACTCCACCAGATGCTGGAGCATATCAGTTTGATCCCCCAGTAGCCTCAGCATTGCATCCCGCCCCCTCTCATCTCGCTCCCGCCCCCTCTCATCTCGCTCGTCCCTCCTGTCCTCGTGTTCATTTTCTGCTTTCCTGGACTCTGATATTGTTTGCCTCCATACATTCTGCTGAGCTCTTTCAGTGTGGGAGGACTGCATGAGCTCAGAGAACATTTCATCGCAAGTGCATTTTTTTTGCCTTCTTATCTGCGTTAGCCTCTGGGATGGAGATGACAGGGGGACCTTTGAAACATTTGCAACTGCGCGAGGAAAAAAAGGAGAGTAGTATTTAAAAAGACATTTTAGAGAATAATGGGTAGACTCTTTCATAGTGAACCAAGCTGTTAATATGACATAGCACATGTGTTTTCGGTACAAGGTCGCATTTTGCCTCCGGTTTAGAGTGAGAGATCACACACGCAGGGCTGAGGAACAGAATTTGGCTTGCAGGCAGCCATGGAAAGCCACAGTCTTTTGGTTTCTTCAACCTTGATAACATGTGGGAATGGTTTTAAACGGCAGCACCCTCCTTTCCCATTCCAAGCACCCATTGAATTGGCCATTTAAAAGGAAGGGCTGCTTTTTTCAGGTTAAAAGGAAGGGCTGCTTTTTGTTGAGTTAAGGTGTAGCACAAACCCATCTAACCCCACCCAATTCTCTGGGATGATCAATTCACCCCTCCCCCACCACATGACTAGTATCAGGGAAGATCCCTGCCAGCCAAACACGAACAGCTCACAGTGAACGATCCTCCCCCCCCCGCGGGTAACAGCAGGGATGATTTCTTTTCAGCCACAGGCAAACAGCCCAGCAGGAACAGCCACCTCTGAACATCCCCTCAATAAAATTCCCCTATTTCAACAGGGTGACCATGAATGATATCACTCTCCTGAGGATAACAGAGAGAGATAAAGAACGGATGTTGCTTGAAAGCCAGCAAACACCAGGACCATATGCTGCCATGCTTTCTTACGCAATGATTCCAGACTATGTGCTACTGGCCTGGCATGGTAAAGTGTCCTTCCATGGAGGACGGAATAAGGCTGCCCTCCCCAGAAACCTTTTGCAAAGGCTTTGGGAGTACCTCCAGGACAGCTTCATGGAGATGTCCCTGGAGGATTTCCGCTCCATCCCCAGACATGTTAACAGACTTTTCCAGTAGCTATACTGGCTGCGAATGCATCCCAAGTCTTCAGGGTGAATTAATCATTAAACACACTTACCTTTAAACAATGTATTATATTTACAAAGGTACACTCACCAGGCTTCCTGGTCTGGGAGCTGGGTTTGGAGGGTATTGGCTCCAGGGTGATAAACAGTTCCTGGCTGTCAGGGAGAACAGTTTCTCCTCTTGCCTGCTGTGCGCTATCCTCCTCCTTCTCATCTTCCTTGTCCCCAAAATCCTCATCCCTGTTGCATGACACTCACCCCTTCCAGGTGTCCACGGACAGGGGTGGGGTAGTGGTAGGGGACCTCCCTAGAATTGCGTGCAGCCCATCATAGAAGCGGCATGTCTAGGGCTCTGACCAGGAGTGGCCGTTTGAGTCTTTGGTTTATTGGTAGGCCTGCCTGAGCTCCTTAATTTTCACATGGCACTGTTGCGGGTCCCTGTTGTAGCCTCTGTCCATCATGCCCTTGGAGATTTTTGCAAATATTTTGGCATTTCATCTTTTGGAAAGGAGTTCTGATAACACGGATTCATCTCCCCATACAGCGATCAGATCCAGTACCTCCTGTTCGATCCATTCTGGAGCTCTTTTGTGATTCTGGGACTGCATGGTCACCTGCGCTGATGAGCTCACCATGCTAGCCAAACAGGAAATGAAATTCAAAAGTTCCCGGGGCTTTTCCTTTGTACCTGGCTAGTGCATCTCAGTTGAAAGTGCTGTCCAGAGTGGTCACAATGGAGCACTCTGGTATAGCTCCCGGAGGCCAATACTGTCGAATTGCATCCACACTACCCCAAATTTGACCCGGTGATGTTGATTTCAGCACTAATCCCCTTGTCAGGGCGGACTACAGAAATCGATTTTAAGAGCCCTTTAAGTCAACAAAAATGGCTTTGTCATGTGGACAGGTGCAGGGTTAAATTGAGCTAACGCTGCTAAATTCAACCTAAACTCATAGTGTAGATCAGGGCACAGTCTGCCTGTGTATGGGCCTTCTCTCACTGAGACAGTCCGAGGCCTTGTTCTTAGGCTAAGGCTTTTGTCTAAACAGCAGGGGCAGCCATAAGCTGGGAAGCGACCGGTCACATTCTCACATCCCAAACCAGTCACATTGAAATAAGGTGGTATTGGGCTGTTAGGAAGACGAGCCTGTCCAGATAGTGCCCATCACCACCAGATAAAGAAACAGATCTGAAGATGGTTAAAGAAAACTTAGTTTGACAGCATTGTCTGGCAAGAAATCACTTACCAATGGTTCTGGTTGTGAAACCCTCATTTCTTTATGGCCCCCACTTTTCTGTTGTTAATCTGTCTGGTTCTCTAATTGTTTCTCTCTGCTGTATAATTAATTTTGCTAGGTGTAAGTTAATTAGGGTAGTGGGATATAATTGGTTGGAGAATTATGTTACAGTATGTTAGGATTGCTTAGTTAAATTTCAGTAAAATGATTGGTTATGGTATAGCTGAGAATAATACTATATAAACTGGGGTCAAACAGGAGGGGGAAGGGAAATTGGAATCATGTTTGTAAGGGAGGGAACAGGAACAGGAAACAGACACAGGCAAGGCTCTGCGGCATCACAGTTTGGAAGGGGGACACAGGGTAAATGGCTCTGTGGTGTCAGAGCTGGGAAGGGAACACTGGGGAACAGACTCTATCGCATTGTCTGCACTTCGGACGTCTGGTCTTTTGCTGCTTGCTGTCTGCATGACA